AAATGTCTCTAGAATTTGGCACCTCCTCGCTATCTGCACCAGCACTGTTAACCCCGGCCCTGGTCACTTCTGGCAGCTTCTATTTTAATACCCCTCTAGTTGGTTTCCTTGCTACAAGACTCGACCCAGCTCCATACCACCGTGCGCGCGTTACTCTCCCTGCCAGGCCGGAACTTCCCTGCCTCCCACCAAAGCATCTTCATCCTCTGTCCTCTAAGTTCCGGCTCAAACATTTCCTCTAGGAACACTTCCCTGACTCCTCCATTCCTACCTCATCCTTCTCTCCTTAGTGCCCCCTTCCCCTAGTTCCTGCTGCTCTAATAGCCCTTACCACACAATTAGGATTATTTTGATTACAAATAGGCCTTCCCAGCTTCAGTCTGAGTTTCTTTAAGCCAATGAATTGTCCTTTCAACACCTGGAAAGAAGTCGGGTACAGCAGGAGCTTAATGAATGGTAAATGAATAAATGTTTGCTATAAGTTTTGTTACCATGACAACAGTGTATAAAAGTACTGGTAGAATTTTTTTGTCTTGAAATTTTCATTGCATCTGAAAGGCAATGAAAAAGAGAAAGTGAGGCAAGTCTGAAAACACATTAAAATAATAGAATAATTTCTTGTAATGTTTTTTCTAGTGGTTTATTTCATGTGAGTGTTTACTTTGAATTCTTTCTTACCACTCTTTGTGAGCTCTCAATATTTCTATGATTACAAGTTTTGTCCCCACTTTCATTCTTCCCCTAATTGCCCTCTTTTCCTTCCTCATCCATATTCCTTTGCTTTCTTAACTCTAGTCTATGAAAATTATAGTTCCCGTTGGATTAAAATACTTTGAATATTTCATCTGAAATTCTAAAATTACTTAAGGTTTTGGAAAAGAGTCATAAACCACTTCAGAAGGATCCCCCCAGGAATATGCAGCAACAACTGGTTCTTTGAAACCAAAAAAGTTTTATTTACACAAGTGTTGGAAACCAGTCAGAGGCTTGTAAACAAAATGGTAAAAAACTGTGATGGAAATGGCCATGCTTTCTAATCTTGCCTGGGGCAAGTCATTTAATTCTGAGGGCCTCAATCTTTGGACTCCAGTATTCTGTAACTCCAGGTTCCAGTTAAAGCTGCAATGAGAGAACTATTTGTATGTGGCAAAAGCCCAAGTAACACTTCCTCATTATTCTGAAACAACACATACTGACTGAATACTTATTATATAACCAGCATCGGTAAGCCACTAAAAACATACTGTTAGATCAAAAGAAAAAATGCCTTGAATTTGTAAAGCAACCAGGATCACGTCTATCCTTGCCATGCATGGTTCCGATGCTGTGGAATGGGAATGGGATGGGACGAGGAAGCGTGTTTCATGACCCCCCCAGATCAGGGGGGGAGCCATCTCCATAGCAGGATCAGACCTAACGGATCACTGTCCTCCAGGGCACTGCCACGTTAGCCATGTACGCAGGTGGGTGTGCTGGAGGTGGGGCCAGAAGACAACTCAGGTAAACACTCCCCGAAACAGCAATAGAAATCTACGTAATCAACTGCTCAATACAGACTCAAAGCGAGAAGCCCAAATGGAATGGAGAACTGAATTCAACCTTAAAGGATGCCTAAGATTTGAATAGATAGAGAAGGGCATGGAAGAACATTTGTACGGTTGGTTAAATCAAAGTTGCGGTCGTGGCGCCATTTTTGGGCCGTAGGGGAACCGTCCTGCTGTCCCGCAGGGAACACGAGGTGGGGTGGGGCTGGGCGACGGAAGGTTTTGGAAGTAGAGGAATTTAAATGCGATCTCACAGGCAATGGGAAAGCAGGTTACTAAACTGACGAGTGCATTATGAAAAAGACTAGGAACAGACTATGAAACCATTTTAAGAGTTCATGTAGGAATTCACAATATTCGTGTATGGATGTTATGATCAAGCAAGATTTTAAAAGATATTTTGAAGGAAGATTTAGCAGACCTTGAAATAGCTGGATATAGGCAGAAAGAAAAGAGGTTAAGAGGGTTCTAATTGTTATTCATACCTGAAAACAGAGATATCTTTATTCAGCCCTTTTCTCATTGTGAAGTAAAATTCCTGGGGATACTATAATATGGTCCCACTGTAGCCCAGCCTAAGGGTGCCCACGCAGATTCATCAAGAATCCCCCTTTTGCAAATGTTGTGTTTGCTTTTAAAATAACTCAGAGTTGAGACTCCCTTTAAAGAGCAGCTTATTTATCACCCTAAAGCAGCAATTCACGAGGTCAGCACTATTTTCATAATAAGTCTAAGACCCAATTTGTCTTTTTCATTCTCATTCTCTCATGGGTGGCTACATTCTGGGTGACAGCGCTTAGACTGGATGTGGAGGCAGGTGAGAACGCAACTGTCTCCTAGGAAGCCAGACATTAAACAAATTTGTAAAAAATGAAAATCAGTGCCATTCTTCACAGTAGACTTTTTTGGGAACATACAGTCATCTATAATTAAAAATTATTTATGCTGACATATGATACGCTTACTGTCATTTAAAAATATATTACTAGATTACTATTTTTAAAGTCTCTCAGTTTTAATTCTAATGCAGTGAATGGCAGTAAAACAGTAAATGACCTTGAGGAACAAATATTCTCCAGGGTCCTCAATAACTTTTAGGACCATAAGAGGTCATGAGCCCAGAAATTCTGAGAACATTCGCTCTAAGGCGATCATCTTCAGTGCCGGCCAAAGCAGGGAGAGTTGTCGCCCGCCTTCGCCGCGCTCCCTGCGTTGTCACTGGGCGCGGATCACGGTGGCAGAGGACCCAGGTTCCTCTCGATCGCCTCTCGGGCCTATTCGTCTCCGTGCCCGGGCAGCACAGGAACAGCGACGGTGTTTCTTACCTGTGCTCAGGAGCTTCCGGTCTGGAGGCCGACGCCCTTTTCTCTCCCGGGGGCCGTGAGGACGGTAGAAGGCGGCCGCCAGGAACGGGAGAGCGGAGGAACCGGAGCGGGCGGCCCACCGGGTCCCGCGGCGTCCGGGGAGGAGGCGAAGCGCTCGCGGAACGAGGAAGCGGGCGGAGGGGAGGAGCCTGCTCGGCCCGCCTCCAGGCTGGGCCCCTTCCTAGGGCAGCGGAGCCCGAAGTAAAGGGTCCGGGGACGCGCAGACTTATTTTAGTGTAAAAGCACTGTTTTAATGAGATGATTTCTCCATAAAAGTTGGAAATCTGGCCCTTCCAAAGCTTGTACCTCGTTCAGAAGTATATTCAAGCTCTTTAGAAAAAGCGCCTGCTTGGTCAGTTAGAAGCATCTTTTCTCATGTAAATCTCTGTTTTGAGACTTTCTACTCACTGCAGCACGAGAGTGAATTATCAGCCCTATTAGAATATTTTCTGTAACATAAGCATAGCACCTAAAATGTAACTTTTAAAAAGCAGAGTGTAAATGTCACAGCCATGAAAATAATTAGCAGAAACAAAGTTTCTCAGTTTTCTCTTAAATGTGGGCTAACCTGTATTAACCTAATAGCAAAGGAATTTATTTGCAAGTTGACTTTTTTTGCTTTTTTGCCGCTACAGAGACTATACGGAAACAGACGGATTCTGAAGTAAGGAAACACAATGCTTACATAAGCAGCTACTTGGATTTTTTTTTTCTGTCTGTCTGTTTTTAACTAGACAGCGTTTTCATTTGATAAGGTCATAAAACACCATGGCCACAGCAGTGATTGCAAAGGACTCTGTGGCAGCGTGGGCGGGGTGCTAGATGTGGTGGCTACTGCAAGAAAGAAACGGCACATTTAAGAAGTATTCGATAAGAATATACAAATGATTGGCATTGAAATACCAAGTGTTCATTCTCCAACTGGAGTGTCCAGTCAGGTCAGCTAACCGGTGACCAGAAGCAGAGCCCCGAACAAATGAGATTTAAATGGCCCAGTGCCAGTTATTTTTCTCCACTGCATAGGTGCAGAATGCACAATTGACTCATATCTTAGTTCTAGGAACAAACTTTTTAAAATTTGATATACAGCAACCCAACTGGTCCATGTCCTGTTTACTTCATGAGGTTGTTCATGAAGATTAAAGGAGGTGATGACAGCCCTTTGGATATTTTAAGGCACTAGATATCTCTAACCCTTCATAACTTCTCACTTGTTCTTACTCATTTAGCTCATACAATGGAGATAAAAATTTTGAACATAAAATGTCCATCAGGTGGACAGTGACGGTAATGGGGTTTGTGGGGGGGCCTTGGTGATGGGGGGAGTCTAGTAAACATAATGTTCCTCATGTAATTGTAGATTAATACCAAAAAAAAGTCCATCATGGTCTTAATTTGATGCAAACAATTAGGTATTTAGGCGGAGTCATTTTTCTGGGATATATTTTAAGAACTAGACAACTGCGTATTCTGATATACAATGTGAAGGCTGGGAGAGGAATTAGATCAGCTTTTTCCCAGGCTTTTGGATTTAATGGGCCATTAAGAAAAATAACAACAATAATAAACAAACACTGTGTGGACAACTTCGTATTTTACGAAGACATAAAAAAACCTTAGAAATCTTTATATTTTTATTTAATGAAAGGACACTTTAACACCAAAAAGTCAGGAAGGACACAGTATCAGAGTAAAGGTCAACCCTTCCAAGTGAACGCGGTCTGAAAACCCACGACCTGTCTCGTCGTTTTACCAGGGGTCGGGGAAGTGCGGCCGACGGCTCAGACCTCAGGCGGTGCCGACCGCCCTCCCGAAGCAGGAGCGGCGGCAGCCATTAGCCTCGTCTCAGTGGGTGGCTTGCATTTCACAGTGGTAGCAAATCAAGTTCAACAAACTGAAGTACCTACTTTCTGGAAACTGACTTGAAAAATTGGCTTTTCCACAAGCAGCCACTAAACATACACACAGTGCTTAGAAATCTCCGTGACAACCAACGTTTAAACGAGCCAAAGGGAAAAGCCCATGTTGTCAGGTGATTCGCTAGGATGCCATTCTGCGCCGTGGAATTTACGGCGGGCGCTCCTGACCTTTGTTTTACGAGCGATAGGCTCTGGGTGCCCGTGTACCCCGACCGGGCGGGGGCCCGGGGCGCCTGTCTTTGAAACTGCAGGGCAAAGTCGGCAGCCGACGGCGCCCCGCGAGGCTGAGCTCCGGCCCGTGGGCCGGGCCTGGAAGCTGCCTGCGGACGCGCCGCGGAGAGGCCGCCGAAAGGCCGGTGCCACGGGAGGAGGCGGAGGGCGCCGGGCCCTGGGTCCCGGAGGTTCGCCGCTGGGCCGCGCCTTCCTTCAAACCGACCCTCCCGAGTCGGCGGAAGGCGCACCCGTGCGGGCCCCTGCACGGGTTCCTGGCGGCGGGAACACCCCGGCCGGGCCCCGGCGACTCCCCCTGCCCTGCCGGGAGAGCCCAGGCTCGGATGTCCCCTCCCCCACCCCCGCACACGTGCGCTCAGCGGAGATTCCCGTCTCACGACGACTGTCCGCTGAGGGGACGGGCGGGAGGCGCGCACGGCCCGTCACGTGACGCCCGCGCGGCCCGCTGGGAGCTCGCGTGCCTCCCGCCGCCCCAGCGGGTTCTGCGGCCTCGCACGCGCGGCGTCTCAGTTCCTGCGCCCCCGCTGACGAGAAGGTCCCGCGGCCGCGTGTAGCCTGGTCTCGGGGTGGGGCTGGAGGGAGGCGGCCCGTGAGGCGAGGAGCAGGCCCGGGGAGGCGGCGGGCGCCTGCCCTGAGGGGCTTTGGTGGGGCCGGAACAGGCATGGAGGAAAGAGCGGGCCGGGAAGTGAGGAGAATGGGGGCTGAAACGGCCCGGGGCGTCCCGAGTGGTGAGGAGAGGGAGGCTGCGTGAGGCCAAGTCGCTTAGTAGTGCGGCCACCGAAGCCTGCGCCTGCGGGGCCTGGGCCGCGGCGGGAGGCGGCGTTGGGCCGCGTCGAGGCCCGCTTCCGGGCCAGGCCTGGGCTCCCCTGCCGCCCTGACAGGAAGGCTAATGTACAGAAACGGAGCGACCCGGTTCTGGAAGTTGCCCACCCATCCCGTGCCCTGCGCGAGGGCGAGGACAGGGCGCCGGGAGGCCCGGGCGGCGGTGCCGGCGGCACCACGCATTTGCCCTGCCCGGCCCCGTGGGCGCGGGTGTTCAGGCCCGGAGAGCAGGGCAGGCGCGGGCCTGAGGGCGAACGGGGGCCGTGCGCGCCGGGTCCTCCCGGGCCCTTGGCGGGGAAGTGAAGTCCGGCGCTGCCCTGCGGCGGGAGCCCCCGGGCCGGTGCGTCTTGGCCCTCGGCGGCCTGGTTCCGCTGTGTTCGAACTCGCCCAGCCCTCCGAGCCCTGCGTGCGAATGAGACGGAATCAGATGAACTGCAAGACCTGCTAGCGTTGGGGTTCAGTGAAGGTCAGGGGGGCCTCGAGCCCAGGCCGGCGCCGGGCAGACGTACTCGGCCCCGGCGGCCCCCTGCGTCCGTGGGGTCGGAGCCGCCCGGGGAAGCGGCGGCGGGGCAAGTGGGGGGCGAGGGCCGGAGCTCAGGGCAGGAATCGGGGCTGCGCCGCCGAGGCCGCGTCCCCACTGGGCTTCGCTCTCGATTTCGCAGCTCTTGCCTCCGACGTGTGATGGCGGGTCACCTGGTTAAACCTGATGCCAGAAACTGCAAGAGGCCGAGAGACCTGGAGGTAATCTCTGCTCCTGGAGCCCTAATCTCTTATTGTATATTCCTCTCAAGTTTCTAACGTGTAAGAAAGTTCTTTTGATAAAAGGAATTAGATGGGTTCATATTCCCAGAGCCGGAATCGCCCCGGCAGGAACTCTGCTGATTCCCCGTTTTCCGACCAAGCGTGTAAAGGCCTCGAGGAAACGGGGGGAGAGTTCTTGGTGGTGATTTGTGATCAAAAGACCGAGGTGGATACAAGCTTTTGTCATAAATGGCACTCTAAGTATTTTGCTAAAAATACGTCGGGTGCTTCCGAACTGTAGGTGGAGAGCCCTGTATCTTGGCCTTCGCTGCTGCCCCCACCGATTAATCTGTTTATATTTGGGATGTTATTTGCTCCATTAAAGATTATGTTGCAAAGTTTTGTGAGCTCTTGGGTACCGTCTAAATGAAAGTTTTGCTGTATTGCTATGAAAATACCTACTGGTTCAAGACACAGGAAACGTTTTTGTCAGGGAATTAATACCATTTTCAAAGTCTAATGTAAAATCAAAAAAAATTTCATTTGTTGAGCAAGGTGCTTCTTGGACCTCAGAGTTTCCTTGATAATATAATTCCAAATGGCTAATTAGGATGCAAGAGCATATACTGTCTAGTATATTTGCTTTTTTCTCAAAGATGTTTTATTTGCCTTTTTTTTTTTCCAGAATGCATATGTCCTAATGATTTTGTTACTTATTTGCCTATTTTCTTTACTTTCTGCCATTAGCCTCAAATGCCAGATAGTCCACAACTGTCCTCTTTGGGGAAATCAGATTCCTCTTTCTCTGAAAGCTCTGGACTATTTTATAAAGATGAAGCCCTGGAGAAGGATTTGAATGGTGATGTATAAACTGCTAATATTTCTCTCTTTTTTTTTTTTTTTTTTTGAGAGGGCATCTTTCGTATTTATTGATCAAATGGTTGTTAACAATTAAATTCTGTATAGGGGACTCAATGAAAGTACTTATATTTCTATACATTAATTTTATAATCCAGAAAGTTTCTTGCAGTTCATAACTTACTTAGTGATTGTTTTTTTGAACAGATTTGAGCAAAGAAATTAATCTAATGTTGTCTACATATGCGAAGATCTTAAGGCAAGTACTTTTAGTATATGCTCTTGAATATTTGTCTTAGAAATAGAAGTTTCCTTCTGGAAACTCCATAATGGGAAGCTTAGTTCAGTGGCTGCAAAGGCTACCCAGAAGTCACAAATTGGAACTTTTTTAGTTTCTTAAAATTTCTCACTTTCTTATAATTATTAGATTATACCAACCAAAGATTAGTTGGTTATTTTGAAAGAATAACCCCAACTTTTCTACTCAACTACTCAACATCCATGGTCTTGCTATTTACCAGAGCTAATATGAGGCTGAATATATTTTGGTCTCTAATTAGATGATGTAACATTTAAAATTTTATGAAAATAAAAAACTCTTTGAGAAAAATGCCATTTGGTGAGGGTAGTGACAATAATAGACTGATATTGAAGATAAATGTGTTTATGAAATAGTTCAAATATTACCTTTGTGTAGTTGAAGGCTGGATTTAAATATCTTACTGGCCTGAGACTGTCATGTTTTATAAGGTGTTTTTTTAAACTACTGGTCAGTCATTGTATCTGAATAATGTCTTGTGTGGCTGTTAAAATAGTGTGCATAGTTTAATATTAGAATTGTGTTTGAGATACGCATTCTGCTATCTCAGGAGACTGAGTAGTCAAAAATACCTGTGGGACTAATTTACCTTTTACTGAACAGTATTTGTAATTTAATGAAGGTTTCTGATGCACAAAGCCATTTGTATAAAATAGGTAACAAATATAGCGTAATAAAGAACGTCACTGATAGTGTGTTTAGACATTATAATGATTTAGTTTGACATAAAACATTTTTTTCCTCATTAGTGAAAGAGCAGCAGTAGATGCATCTTACATTGTCGAGATAGATGGACTCTTCAAAGAAGCCAGTGCTATTGAAAACTTTCTAATACAAAAAAGAGAACTCCTCAGACAGAGGTTTACAGTGATTGCAAACACACTGCACAATTAAAATTGTGTACTTAAAATAAATTGAGAATTTAAGCCCTTTGTTGTAGTGAAAGAATGACATGCTATGAAAACTCTCTGATTGTTAAAAAAATGTGGATTTTAAATATTGAAGGGGAAACGGTGAATTTCTTTTCTAGATTTAAAAGGGGCTTTAAACCAGACATTGATATGATGTAACTTTTCTTTTGAGGGTCAAATTTTTGGCATATTTTATAAAAGTGTAAATTATTTAAATTATATATGGATTATTTTCTTTCTTTTTTTTTCTTAACTCTCCTAGCCTTTCTTAAACTTCTAAAAGAGGACTCAGTGAGTTAATTTGATAATGTTTAATACTGTCACACTTTTTCTTTTAGAATATTTTGTTTAAATAAAAGAGACACAGCTTTGGAGATAATTTTAAAATGTTTTTCATGGTCAGTATTACTTAAAAAAAATTAAAACCTAAAGGTAATTTGTCCAGTTTCTCAATATGTAATAAGATATAACTGCTATTGCTATTTAATATTACCATTGGATTATTTTCACTGTAAGTTTTATTATACATTGCCAATAAAAATTCTTGGTTTAAAACTGTTTTCTTGTGGTAACAGTGATAAAATAAAAACAAGAAATTACTAACCAGAACCTTATATAAGTTGGCTTTTTTATGTATCAACCATATCAGTGGTGCAGTTAATGAATTACATTTCGAAGCCTTGGCAGCTGTGTGGTATGAGATTAGTGGTCCAGAAGTAAAGCGACTGGCTCAACAGCAAGACAGACTTGGTGAGTCACTTCAATCCTGTTATAACTCAGAAATAGAATTTGGACTAGAGGATCTCTTGAGACTCATCTAGCTAAAAAAAATCCTTTGATGAAAGGTACTTCTATGATTTTATTGAAAACTTTCGATGTGTTACATAATTAAATATAAGTATATTAATCATATTTTAAACAGACCACCCATTTTCAGTCATAAATAATGCAATCTATTAGATGTGTATTTTGCTAGGATAAGAATCACAGATTTGGACACATTTATGCATAGTTCCACGGGGAATTTGATATTTCTTAGGTGGACAGCATGTGCCTGGTCTTCTAAATGTTAAAATCTCATTTTATCAAATTACCATTTTAAGGCTTATATACCACATAACAGAAATGTTTATATAAGATAGGATTGAAAACAATAAAATATTTACTGAAAATACTGGTTATAAGTGGAAAAAAATTACTAGGTTTGTAGAGGGATTTACTAATGGTTGGAGGTCAGTGAAGTAACAATTAGTAATGGGATTATTAAATACTAATGCATCCAGAAGACTGTATTTGAGTTGATACGTTATGTCACCTGAATTTGCTGTTACCTTAAAGAGTTTTGTGATATTCTAAATACAAAGATAACTTGGCCCATCATCATAAAGAAATATTCATGAGTTTCTTTTCTCTAAGCATTTATAATTGTGAGACTAAGGCTAACAGATTGTTTCTGAGTGGATTTCATAACATACGGCTTCTATCTTGAAGCTGTCACCATTGTTGAGCATCTGGTTCTTCCCTGTGAAGATGTAGAGAATTGATTTGATCCGTTCATTTGATATGATTAAGATGAGGAAACTGATTTTTAGTCACAATGTGTTTACTATTCAGAACAGGTGCCTCCCAAGGTAAAAAAAGTTCCTGAAAGCCTAACTGAGACTTATTTTCCTTCAAGTTTGGATGTCTTTGGCACCATCCTCATGAACAAGAATGATTGTCTCTCACAGCTGGAAATAGGCTTACAGAAATACCATTACCCTTAAATTTACACTTCTAATATCACTCCATTTTAATACAGTTGCACAAGTTTATAAATTGTTTTCACTGATTACAAATCAAAATACATATTGAATATCTTTGTACATCATCCTCTGCTAGGCACTGTAGGGAAAACAGAATAGTACAGGATATTCTTTGTTCTCCCTTCTGACAATTTTAACCACTCTTTTCTTGAAATACACTTACATGTCTTTGCTGAGAAGACATGATATGTAAATGTTACAGTGTCTCTGTGGCATTACTAATAACTGCTAGTGGGAGTTACTAGGAGGCGTTTGGGAAGGGGTCGCAAAGGTAGATTTTTGAAATGGATTTTTGAAAAGTAAAGAGGATATTTCAGGCAGGGAAAAGTTGGTTCAAAGGCACAAAAGAACAAAAAACATGTTATGTTTGATAGTCATTTCACTGGCTAAAAATTCACAAAGGGTAATAAACTGCTAGAGAGCAGGGACTGAATCTTGTGTCTTAATTTGCTCAGTCTGCAGTGCGGTGTTTGATGACTTGTGGCCAAAACATTAAATCAGTAGCATTATATGTGGATATAAGTGTTTTAAGAGCACACCTTCACAGGCCTTTCTTCTTACTAGATTGTCAGATAATTATTGTGAAGTAAATGAATAGAAAAGAAAAGGAAATGCTAGTGAAAGGCTAGAAAAGCAGAAAAAGGATGAAAGCTAGGTTGTGGCCAGATTGTTGAGTGCTCTGTTGAAAGACTAAATCTGGACTTTATTCTGTAAGGAAATAGGAGGTCTGACTCTTCTAGAGAAGAGTCATGTAATGAAATGGATACCAGGACCAGCTGAGTTCATTGTTAGTGTGAGAACAGATTGGAGGGAGACACTACTGATCCAATTTCAGTTATTCAAACAGCTCGTCAGTATAGATAGGTTGTTGGAATAATTGTCCTGGAAATAAGACCAATAGGGATCGCGCTTTGCAGAGCCAGGGGCAGGCAGGAAGTGAGTGTTGCTGCCAGTGAGTGTGAGGGTTTGGAAATCATAGATCTGCTGCTGCTGAGCTCAATACAAAAATGTTCTTTCAAATCCTTCTCCATTTTGTCAGCAATCTTCCGGCCACTGCAGTGGGCTTCCTTTCTGTTCTGATGCGGCGGGTCCCAGGTGAGGGATCTGTCCCTCTCCCCCCTCCTCTTCCTCCTCCCACCAGTCTGGACTTAAGAGTTCTGTGCCTCTTTCCTGGAGAGCGCTGGGGGCTTCTGAAGGTTTCTGCTCTGTGTGGAGCAGATACACAGGCAGCGAGACTGCAGAGCTGGGAGCTGAAGAGGACTGAGTCAGGATTTGTTTACTTGTCGCCAGGGAGACAGCCTTTCTACTTGTATATCTTGTACAACATGTAGGGTGGGATTCAGGGTTTAGGAATTCTCTTGGAGCTGCAATAGGAAAAACATTCACTGTTCAGACCTTCCTCAAATGAGAATCACTGCTGCGCATTCCAGTGTATGTGTTTGGTTCCATTTGTGTTCTGGAGGACTGCCTTAGAGCCTCTGTTTTTTTTTTTTGCTTACTGTTTTGTAGCTTTTTATTGCAGCTCATTTTGTCACATCATTTTATTCTTGAAATTGGTTCATTAGAGCTATCAAAAATCATACTGATATGTAGTCTACACTTTACAATTATTTAATTCAATAATTCAGTGTTTGCAGTTTGCAAGGCAGTGTGGTAAGTACTGGGGTGGGACAAAAACCAAGACCCCGTACTCAGGGAGTACTGGCAGTAGGCCTTACAAAGTATATTCATATTTCACAACACAGAATAAGTGCCATAAGAGAGCTAAACATTTGCTGTGTGAGTTCAAGCTAAGGAGAATCAGTTCTTGCCATAGGAAATGGGAGTGTTGTGTCAGGGAGCGGGTGACATGGGTACTGGATCGTGAAGGATGAGTAGGGAAGTGGTTTTACCTGAAGGAGGTGGGAAATATCCTAGTGAAGAGAAGGGTATGTTAGATAAGGAGAAGAGATTGCGGAGTGGCCCAGTTTGTCTGGGGCAGAAGGCATTAGTGAGTGGATGGACTGGATGAGTGGGGCGGTGTGAGAATTCAGGGCCTTCATCCGTACCTGGCCAAGCTGTTTAGAGTTTACTTGGTAGACAGTGGGGAGTCATTTGTAAAGATTTGTAAAGGTTTTCTGGGGGAATACATGATACAGTCACGTCTGTACTTAGGAGATTAATTCAGTAACAGTCCTTCCCAGCTGTTTTCACATCAGAGCACATGTAGAAAGTGATAATATTTTTACCTCACAGTAGAGTAGAATGGGTGGTGGCTGGAGTCCAGATGAGCTGCTTAGAGCTGGGAGCGATTGACCTGGGGCCTTTGGCCATCCCAGGGGCTGAAGGGACCAAGAAGCCACCAGTTAGGAATCTCTGGCTACTCTGTCTAGTTTCTCCTTCTGATCAGACCCATTACAAAGTTGTGGGGGGCCTAACCTGGGACAGTAGGAAGGAAGGGACTGATGGCAAGAGTTGAAGCATCAGAGCTGATGTGGACAGTTCTGGGCCAGCAGGAAAATGGGGGGCGGGCGGCGCTTCTCAGGATTGGTGCACTGGTAAAAATCTTTACAGAGGATTTGCCCCAGGTACCCTTGCAAACTTGTGATCCCTAGTGAGGCATCCTGGCTGCCCTCTGTCAGCCCCTGAGCATCCTCTTCCTAGCCCTGTGGGTCTAGTTAGCAGAATTTAATTTGTGAATGTGGGGACAGCAAAGAAAGATGAATTCAGGGCCCACAGAGATGTTGAAGTTAGGTGATTTAGCAAGTGGGAAAACTGATTTGGAAGGGAGACAATGAAGAATTCCCTCTGGACATATTGAGTCACCTGCAAGAAGTAATGGTGAAATTATGGGACCAGAAGAGATTACCAAGGAAGGGTGCTGAGGTTAATGAGTACAGATCCAAGGTCAGTCCTTAGGAGCACATTCATAAGGTGACAAAGGGAAGAGGAGCCACGGGAATCAACACTTGGAAGTTAGCTACTATTATACTGGGTTATGATTATGGACATGAATGGAAGTATTATCCTCCTTTTATCCCTACCTCATCACTGAGAAACTTCAGGCTCAGAGTGATCAGTAATGTGTCCAACAACACCGATCGCAGTAGAAATGATCTGTTTGTATGTTTGTTTGCTAGGCAGTGAGTTCCTTTACATCAGGGATCTAATGCAACGCCTACTACTTTGTAGAATGATTAAATAATTCAAAGAAAGAAGACATTACATCTTGTTGGATTGATCATTAAAAACTACATAAGTAATAATGGCTCACTTTTTTAGTATTTACTGTGTTCTAGGAACTTTACATAACCAAACTCATTTGTTACTTACAAATGACAATATAAAAGTCTTAAGAACAATAAGAATAATTATACTCGTTTTAGAAAGGAGGTAATACAGCACAGAGAGGTTAATTGTCATGCTCAAGGCTATTTATTTGGAAAATGGCAGGCCAAGATTTGAACTCAAGAAATCTGCAGCTAGGCAGAGCCTGGTCCCTGTTCCTAAATATTACACTGCACTGCCTGTTAAAAGGATTAGCATTTGATACACACTTTAAACAGTTTTCTTAGGGATAGATTTAAGTAGGCAGGGCATTCAGGGTAGAAGTGAATTTAATTTGGGAAATCAGGAAATAGTTGGGTTTGACTGAATTGTTATATACAGGAAAGTAGGAGGTCTTGTGCTCTAAACTGAATTTTTGAAAGATTTAAATGAAGTGGGGTGATAGATAAAATACAAACTACTCTGCCAGAAGAATGTAAATCTCACTTCTTCAGAGGAATAATATCACTATATGTTTTTCCAGTTTAGACTTCTATATCACTATTAAAATTTTATGAAATAAAGGACTATTTTATAGTATCTAGTTAATTATATATTTGACCACCCTCTGCCTTGTTAACACAAAATTAGTATGAAATAATAGGGACAATTTTTAGCTCTTTATTATGTAATTATGATTTTATTCTTCTTGAGGCTTTTGAACTCTTAAGTAATTTCAGACCAGGTGCCACTGCAGAACTTAATTTATGACTCCCTTTCAGAAAATGCCATGTACATTCATGTGTATGCCATTAAAATAGAAGAAATTAAATTGTCAGTCTTGCCAAATTCCTGTAAATCACTATGAAACCTTTGGTATCACATTCTAGTGTGTTTAAAGTATTGAGGTCAAGTTTAAATATATTGAATGGTGGTTATTTTTATCATAATGAAGTTGCTATTTAGGCTTAGCATAGATAGAGTCAGTCTTCTGAAAAGATGAGCATTATTCAAGTATGAGAAATGATAATAGTAATTAAAGTCCTGAATTAATTCTTAGGCAGGTTTGTACTGCAAAAATATAAAAAGGATTGTGGTTCAAAAATGGAGAACCAGAGGGTGATGGTCTGAGAATGAGGAAGGAGAGAGAGGAATCTGGAAGCTATGTTTGGTGTTAGCTTTACATTTCCCTTAGCAGTAGATACAATTACTGTCTATGGAAAAGCAGGCATGTTTATACAAAATGGGTATAATTTTTTGCGTTTTTGATTTCCTTTTACAGTTTTGAAGAAGTACACAGAAAACACTCATCAGAAAAAAGCCATTTTTAGTAAACGACAGAATCTTCCATGTATTGCACCACTACTGGCCACAGTGCAGGAGACTCTGTGGACCTCTGCTCGAGTCTGAGGACATCTCCCTAAGTGGCTCAATGGTTCTCTGCTTCGAATTGGACCTGGGAAATTTGAGTTTGGGAAGGACAAGTAAGTCTTGATTTTGGGGAACAATTTGGATTTCTTAGCAAGGGCTGGTTTCTCTGGAATATGCATTAATATCTGCTTCCGATCCGAGGCTAATACTGCCATGATTACAGTCCCTTTGATTGATAAGTCTCTTTGATGACAGGTGAGGAAAATGTAGTCTATAGAAAAAAAAATACTTAATTCTTTTGAAAAGTCCTGACTTTTCTTCCCTGCAGAGTATTACGAATTTGAAGCCCTGTAAAGGTTTAGGCCAAAAGAGGTGTGTCAGGAACTGCCTGTGACTTCCTAGCTCTATTTCACCACACGTTCCTTTAGGACGTAGCAGTGTCTTCACCTCACACCACTCCCTTACCCAGTACTTCCCAGACGCAGTGGCTCTTTCAGTTCCTCAAACCAGGCACCACTTACTTTTTCAGGGGGTCTTGGCATTGGTCCTCCCATCCGTCTCCCCAAGTGTGATTCTTGTCATGCAGATACCAGCTTGGATCTCATATCCTTTAAGCCCTCTGACCTCCCAATCTAAAATGTGATTGTTTACTGTATTACCTATGTAATTGTCCACAGCACTGTCAATGTCTACTATTTTTTGCTTGTTTATTTATTAGCTGTATTTCCCCACTAGAGTGTAAATTCCACAGGGCAGGGACTTTCTCTTACTCACCTCTTATCCCTGACACCGCGGACAGTGCTCTGCCCTTAAATAGCACTCAATAAATATATGTAAATAAATGAAAAAAAAAACAGTAACTCTTCAGTGCATCACTTTTCTGTATCTACCAGGGACATAACTGTACTCACCATGCTGACAATACATCCTCATGGCGTATTTATTTCATAACTGGAAGTTTGTATCTTTTGACCCCCTTGACCCATTTTGCTCACTCCCACCACCCACACCTACCTATGACAGCCAGTCTTCTCTCTATCTACAAGTTCAGGTTTTTTTTTTTAGATTCCACAATTAAGTGAGATCATACAATATTTATCTTTCTCTGTCTGACTTGTTTACTTAGCATAATGCCCTCAGGTCTATCCATATTGCCACAAATAGTAAAGATTTCCTTTTAATGGCTGAATAATATTCCATTGTGTGTATATGTACAATGTATATGTGCTACTCTGTCTAGTTTCTCCTTCTGATCAGACCCATTACAAAGTTGTGGGGGGCCTAACCTGGGACAGTAGGAAGGAAGGGACTGATGGCAAGAGTTGAAGCATCAGAGCTGATGTGGACAGTTCTGGGCCAGCAGGAAAATGGGGGGCGGGCGGCGCTTCTCAGGATTGGTGCACTGGTAAAAATCTTTACAGAGGATTTGCCCCAGGTACCCTTGCAAACTTGTGATCCCTAGTGAGGCATCCTGGCTGCCCTCTGTCAGCCCCTGAGCATCCTCTTCCTAGCCCTGTGGGTCTAGTTAGCAGAATTTAATTTGTGAATGTGGGGACAGCAAAGAAAGATGAATTCAGGGCCCACAGAGATGTTGAAGTTAGGTGATTTAGCAAGTGGGAAAACTGATTTGGAAGGGAGACAATGAAGAATTCCCTCTGGACATATTGAGTCACCTGCAAGAAGTAATGGTGAAATTATGGGACCAGAAGAGATTACCAAGGAAGGGTGCTGAGGTTAATGAGTACAGATCCAAGGTCAGTCCTTAGGAGCACATTCATAAGGTGACAAAGGGAAGAGGAGCCACGGGAATCAACACTTGGAAGTTAGCTACTATTATACTGGGTTATGATTATGGACATGAATGGAAGTATTATCCTCCTTTTATCCCTACCTCATCACTGAGAAACTTCAGGCTCAGAGTGATCAGTAATGTGTCCAACAACACCGATCGCAGTAGAAATGATCTGTTTGTATGTTTGTTTGCTAGGCAGTGAGTTCCTTTACATCAGGGATCTAATGCAACGCCTACTACTTTGTAGAATGATTAAATAATTCAAAGAAAGAAGACATTACATCTTGTTGGATTGATCATTAAAAACTACATAAGTAATAATGGCTCACTTTTTTAGTATTTACTGTGTTCTAGGAACTTTACATAACCAAACTCATTTGTTACTTACAAATGACAATATAAAAGTCTTAAGAACAATAAGAATAATTATACTCGTTTTAGAAAGGAGGTAATACAGCACAGAGAGGTTAATTGTCATGCTCAAGGCTATTTATTTGGAAAATGGCAGGCCAAGATTTGAACTCAAGAAATCTGCAGCTAGGCAGAGCCTGGTCCCTGTTCCTAAATATTACACTGCACTGCCTGTTAAAAGGATTAGCATTTGATACACACTTTAAACAGTTTTCTTAGGGATAGATTTAAGTAGGCAGGGCATTCAGGGTAGAAGTGAATTTAATTTGGGAAATCAGGAAATAGTTGGGTTTGACTGAATTGTTATATACAGGAAAGTAGGAGGTCTTGTGCTCTAAACTGAATTTTTGAAAGATTTAAATGAAGTGGGGTGATAGATAAAATACAAACTACTCTGCCAGAAGAATGTAAATCTCACTTCTTCAGAGGAATAATATCACTATATGTTTTTCCAGTTTAGACTTCTATATCACTATTAAAATTTTATGAAATAAAGGACTATTTTATAGTATCTAGTTAATTATATATTTGACCACCCTCTGCCTTGTTAACACAAAATTAGTATGAAATAATAGGGACAATTTTTAGCTCTTTATTATGTAATTATGATTTTATTCTTCTTGAGGCTTTTGAACTCTTAAGTAATTTCAGACCAGGTGCCACTGCAGAACTTAATTTATGACTCCCTTTCAGAAAATGCCATGTACATTCATGTGTATGCCATTAAAATAGAAGAAATTAAATTGTCAGTCTTGCCAAATTCCTGTAAATCACTATGAAACCTTTGGTATCACATTCTAGTGTGTTTAAAGTATTGAGGTCAAGTTTAAATATATTGAATGGTGGTTATTTTTATCATAATGAAGTTGCTATTTAGGCTTAGCATAGATAGAGTCAGTCTTCTGAAAAGATGAGCATTATTCAAGTATGAGAAATGATAATAGTAATTAAAGTCCTGAATTAATTCTTAGGCAGGTTTGTACTGCAAAAATATAAAAAGGATTGTGGTTCAAAAATGGAGAACCAGAGGGTGATGGTCTGAGAATGAGGAAGGAGAGAGAGGAATCTGGAAGCTATGTTTGGTGTTAGCTTTACATTTCCCTTAGCAGTAGATACAATTACTGTCTATGGAAAAGCAGGCATGTTTATACAAAATGGGTATAATTTTTTGCGTTTTTGATTTCCTTTTACAGTTTTGAAGAAGTACACAGAAAACACTCATCAGAAAAAAGCCATTTTTAGTAAACGACAGAATCTTCCATGTATTGCACCACTACTGGCCACAGTGCAGGAGACTCTGTGGACCTCTGCTCGAGTCTGAGGACATCTCCCTAAGTGGCTCAATGGTTCTCTGCTTCGAATTGGACCTGGGAAATTTGAGTTTGGGAAGGACAAGTAAGTCTTGATTTTGGGGAACAATTTGGATTTCTTAGCAAGGGCTGGTTTCTCTGGAATATGCATTAATATCTGCTTCCGATCCGAGGCTAATACTGCCATGATTACAGTCCCTTTGATTGATAAGTCTCTTTGATGACAGGTGAGGAAAATGTAGTCTATAGAAAAAAAAATACTTAATTCTTTTGAAAAGTCCTGACTTTTCTTCCCTGCAGAGTATTACGAATTTGAAGCCCTGTAAAGGTTTAGGCCAAAAGAGGTGTGTCAGGAACTGCCTGTGACTTCCTAGCTCTATTTCACCACACGTTCCTTTAGGACGTAGCAGTGTCTTCACCTCACACCACTCCCTTACCCAGTACTTCCCAGACGCAGTGGCTCTTTCAGTTCCTCAAACCAGGCACCACTTACTTTTTCAGGGGGTCTTGGCATTGGTCCTCCCATCCGTCTCCCCAAGTGTGATTCTTGTCATGCAGATACCAGCTTGGATCTCATATCCTTTAAGCCCTCTGACCTCCCAATCTAAAATGTGATTGTTTACTGTATTACCTATGTAATTGTCCACAGCACTGTCAATGTCTACTATTTTTTGCTTGTTTATTTATTAGCTGTATTTCCCCACTAGAGTGTAAATTCCACAGGGCAGGGACTTTCTCTTACTCACCTCTTATCCCTGACACCGCGGACAGTGCTCTGCCCTTAAATAGCACTCAATAAATATATGTAAATAAATGAAAAAAAAAACAGTAACTCTTCAGTGCATCACTTTTCTGTATCTACCAGGGACATAACTGTACTCACCATGCTGACAATACATCCTCATGGCGTATTTATTTCATAACTGGAAGTTTGTATCTTTTGACCCCCTTGACCCATTTTGCTCACTCCCACCACCCACACCTACCTATGACAGCCAGTCTTCTCTCTATCTACAAGTTCAGGTTTTTTTTTTAGATTCCACAATTAAGTGAGATCATACAATATTTATCTTTCTCTGTCTGACTTGTTTACTTAGCATAATGCCCTCAGGTCTATCCATATTGCCACAAATAGTAAAGATTTCCTTTTAATGGCTGAATAATATTCCATTGTGTGTATATGTACAATGTATATATACATGCATACATATATTCACATATATTTGTATATGTATATATATGCATGCATACATAATACATGTGTGTGTGTGTGTCTGTATACACATTCATATATATTAATCTTAGTCCTTAAATCAGTAATGCTAAATGGGGAAACACTTCAAGTATTTTTTCTAAGTCAGGAACAAGAAAAGGATGGTCAGTATTTCCACTGCAGTTCAACAGATGTAACCAATGCAATTAGATTAAAGAAATTGGTCAAAGGCCCAAGGATTAGTTAAACTATCTCTTTTTGCAGAGGATTGTAGTAACCTTGGAAAACCAGAGAATCAATGACAAAACTGTAAGTCAATACAAGGTGACAGGGTGTAATAGCATGATGAAATCAATAGCCCTCATATATAGGAAAAATTACCAGTTAGGTAATGTAACAGTAGAAAAGAATCTCATTTACAGTGTCAACAAAGAAGGTTAAATACTTACCAATGAACTTAACAAGAAATGTGCAAACTTTAAAACACTCCTGGATGACACAATTAAACAGATAGGAAGACGTCTTCTGGTCTTGAATAGGAGAATTCAACATCAATAAGATGTCAGTTCTCCCTAAGTTAAATTTTAAATTTAATACAATCTTAATATAATTCCCAAAGGTTCTTTAAGGATGGTAAAATCGACACTACAGTTCATTTAGAAAAACAAACATGTAATAATAGTGAAGAAAACACTAGACAAGACAACTTTCAGTGGGAGGACTAGCCCTTCCAAACATTGAGATATACTATAAAGCCTTTATAATTAATAGTGATAGTGGTGCACGAATAGACAAATAGTCAGTTGATACAGAATAGAAAGCCCAGAAATAGACCCAACAGTTTATGGAAATTTAGTTTATGGCACAGATGGCATCTCAAATCACTGGAAAAAGTAGGCCTTTTTTTTATTGTGGTAAAAAAAACCCCATAAAATTTGCCATCTCGACCATTTTTAAATGTACATGTCAGTGTTAAGTTTATTCACATAGCTGTGAAATAGATCCTCAGAACTTTTTCATCTTGCAAAACTGAAACTCTATACCCATTAAACAAAAGTTCCCCAATTGCCCCTCCTCTAGCCCTTAGTAGCCCAATTCTACTTTCTGTTTCTTTGAGTGACTTATTAGATACCTCATGTAAATGCTGTCATACAGTGTTTGTCTTTTTTCGACTGGCTTATTTCATTTAGCATATCCTTAATGTTCATGTTGTAGCATGTGACAGGATTTCCTTCTTAAGGCTGAATAATATTCTATTGTATGTGAACATTGTATTTATCCATTCATCAGTTGATGGACACTTGGGTTGCTTCCACTTTTTGGTGGGTGGTAAATAATGCTGCTATAAACATGGGTGTGCAAATATCTCTTTTGAGTCCCTGCTTTTAGGACCATTACCTTTTTTAAAATATTGAAGTGTCATTGTTACACAATCTTGTATTGGCTTCAAATATACAACACAGTGGTTCAGCAGTTACCCACATTGTTAAATCCTTACTCCCACGAGTGCAGTTACTATCAGCATAGGAAGATGTTACAGAATCATTGACTGTATTTTCTGTGCTGTACTACCATCCCTGTGGCCAACTTACATTATGATTGAGAATTTTTGTGCCCCTTTATCACTCTCCCCCTCCCCACCCACTCACCCCAACTCCTCCGCTGTCATAACCACCAGCCAGTTCTCAGTGTCTGTGAATCTACTGTTCTTTCATTCATTTTGTTTTGTTTTGCTTTTATGTCCCACAAATAAGTGAAATCATACGGTATTTGTCTTTCTCTGCCTACCTTATTTCACTTAGCATAATAGCCTCTAGAAGGGACATTGCCTTGTAAAACAATGATTTGTTAGCCTTGCTTTTCCATGCTGAAGATATTAAGCATTCAGTTTCTCAAGGATATGAAAAGAAAAGGCTATATGATGTAGACCCTTTTAAAGGTAAAGCCACAAATATTACCTTACAGGTTTTCGATGTTCTGTCATTCATTCTAGTGTGAGCAGATGGACGTAAATGATGATCCAGTAAGGACAGTCATCCTATTTGATTACTTTGACATAATTTTGATAAATTTGAAAATTTTAAAAGTAAATGGAAGATGTAATACATATTAAATATGAAGATAACGATTTCTAAAATCTTAGGAACCCATTTTAATTTGGGAAATGTCAAGCATCCCATATCCTCTCATGCTGTTCTTCTGCCTACAGGGTAAAGATTGGAATGAACTTAGAAGTCACCATAAGGTTTTTCTTTAGCTCTCTAAAGTGGGAGCTTTTTGAAAGGGTATGAGAATCAGGAGAATGTAAGTTGCTTTTCCTGTTGTAGTCCAGTATGTACTCAAAAGTTATCACCTCTTAATTTCAAGTTCTCTGGATGGTCAGGTTGTACTGGAAACCTATCTCGATCTTGTTTAAGTTTGAAATCTCTCATTTTGACCCCATGCTTTTCTTACTAATACTTGTTTTTCTATTTTTGCTCCAATTTGAAGGTATAATCACTGGTTTGATGGAATGGCTTTGCTTCACCAATTCAGCATGGAGAAGGGCACTGTGACATACAGGAGCAAGTTTCTACAGAGTGATACATATGAGGCCAACAGTGTTCATAATCGAATTGTGATCTCAGAATTTGGCACACTGGCTCTTCCTGACCCATGCAAGAATGTTTTTGAGCATTTCATGTCAAAGTTTGAGCCGCCTGGTAAGCAGCCTCTAATATACCCAGAATTTGCAGGTGATAGTGATTATTTAAATTATTATGAAATATGGCAACCTGTATAAGTATAAATTTTGAAATTAATGTATTTTTTTGGCATGAGAGGATGTTTAAACTGCATTCTCCCTCTGACAGTGTGCTTAGAGTCTGCTACACAGTAAGTTACAGTGTTTTTAAATAACTCTGGGGTTTGTTTCAGCAATGACAGACAACACCAATGTCAATTACGTGCGGTACAAGGGTGATTACTACGTTAGTACTGAGACCAACTTTATGAATAAAGTGGACATTGAAACCCTGGAAAAAACAGAAAAGGTAAGGTATAGGCTAAAAATGAATAAAATAGGCCCTAAAATTTTTTGCCATTCAGAATACTTTTTAGAGTAGTAGATATCTAAAGAAGACATTTTCCCCTTAACCAGAGAAAAAGAGAGTTACCCACTGACTGAGGTCATTGTGCGCCTCTGTCCTGGTTAGAATGGCCTGTGGGGTTGGTTTTCTTTAAAGAAATTCTGGACTTCTGCTTCCTGAGCCCTAATACCTGAATGCTGTGGTAAAAGAGAAATAGTAGAACAGATTTACTTGGCCAGTTCAAGTTCTTCCAGGTTACAGGTAGAACTGGGCTGGAGATTGTCTAGGCCCTGCTGCCTTTGCTTATTAACACCTTAATTAGAAATAAAATAAAACTTTAGACCAGAATGTCACATTCTTATTCTTTTGAACTCTGTAATCTTCGGCAAAAAAATATCCTTACTGGGTAATCATTTTTCTGTTGTTGGTAGTAGTGGTTTTTTTGTTTTGTTTTTGGTCTTAGTTGCTTTTTCTTTAGTAGCAAAAGTAATTATGATTTCTCAAAGGTGAGATATTAGGGCTTACTCAGACTGTAGTTTTCATATCTTATTTTAAATGTAATTGACACATCTACTGTCTCTGCATCTGAGTAGAGAGTAAATGTCTCTGATGGTCTTGCACTTGCAGGTCAACTGGAGCAAATTCATCGCTGTGAGTGGTGCAACTGCACATCCTCATTATGACCCAGATGGAACCACATTCAACATGAGCAACTCCTATGGGCCGCACGGTAAAGTTGGGAGGGAGATCTTTTTAAAATAATTGGGAGTTAACTGTCTTCTTAGGGTTCCATTATAAGATGGAAACATAGGAAACTGCATTTGCAGGGTCGGAAAGAAATCTCCAAAGTGGCATTACTGAACTTAAAGCACGTAATTTAACAGTAAGTATGCTCTGCGGTACTTTTGCACCTATGCTTAGCAGCTGGTTTTCTGTGTTACATTTTTAGCACGACCCAAGTTTCATTGTGCTTTTGGCTCACAGGCATCATGGGGATTTTTTTTTTTTTTGGAAGTCATAGTTACTGTATCACTAAGGAATCCACCGCTAGGACTGTCATGAAGCCCGGGGCGGGTCAACAGTGGCAAGTTCTGGGGGTCACTGCATCCCCCTCTGGAGCCTCTTGTTACAGCCACTCTCTTCTCTTTCTACCTCAACTGAAAGCCCAGATGCAGGAGGCCTCACCCCCTGCCCTCCCTTTCCTGGAAGATGCCAAAGCCACTGAGGTAGGAGGCTTTTTCAGAGTAGACGATGACTTTGTCTTCCCAGAAGACAAACCCTCTGCTTGGCTTCTTGAGGCGGATGGCCACCCCGGACCACGGGCAGGTCGGGACCTGCGTAGCCTCAATGGAGACGGGGAGGAGGAGGAAAGGGAACTCAGATGGGGTCGTCTCCTGTAAGAGGATAGGGATTCTCAGTGTGTATTTCTTAAACTTGAATTTTTAAGATTGTAAGTAAAGGAAATTTAGAATGCTGCAGAAAACAAATACGGGGGAGTTCACTGTCTGGCACATGGAAGCAGCTTATTTTTTTTATTTTTTATTTTTACAAATTAAGTCCTAATTTACTTTGATTATATTCACAGATCACATTCTCTGTTACATTGTTATTTTATTTATTTGTCATACTCATCAATTTTAATTCTTATGTATTATTTTTTGTAATTATTATTATTTTTTTTAATTTTTTTTTTTGAGAGGGCAT